CGCTTTGGAGATAACTCCGAGTCCGGGTCATGCCTATTACTATTCCGACTAGACCTAACCAGGTCGATTCGGATGTCTATTATTTCTTACAATACCACAAAGAAAATCCCGTTTTCACCTTGTGTAGGTCAGTTACATGATGGTACCTTGATTTGAAACAAATGACGAAGTTAAAGTCTTTGGCGCACAATTTGGATACCTTGGTTACGGGGGACGAGGTAGGTCGCTCAGGTATTCAGGCTCTGATCGGTTTTGTGAGCATACCGTGGAGCGTTTTGACACACCGTGCATTTGCGTGTTGCGCTCCGTACACAGAGGGCTATTGTTCCAGAATGGATAATCTTGGTTTCGGGTGTATCAACAGACAGTGTGTTACACTCGTTGACCAAAAGTTCTTAAACGCTATCAGGTTATTCTTTGCTAAGAAATTCCTAATTCGTTCTAACAAACCTAGCCAAAGTGTTATAACGTGTTGTGAACCGCGTTGTTTGAGCTTTCTCCCCGAGTCAATGTACATATCAGATGTACATGAGCAGCAAAGTTACCTAACTATTGTAGCCTACAGAAATATCTATGATCACCACTCGATCGTGAGTCCATTTTTGCTTTGGAAGATGGATGTTGGTAGATGAAACCAACCAACCAAGGATCATCGCTCCTTAAGCCTAGACAATACCGAAGGAAATACTATCCCATATTGACTAAATCCTCCATAAGCTCACGTCGAAGCGCACTGCGGGGGTACAGAACCACGTCATCCTCTCTAGTAGGTAGGTCACGCCGAGCAACGAACATACCTGAGAGCACGGAATTGATGTCATTCATGTTAGGGTACAACCATGTCTCCATCATGACGGTGAGATCACACGTCTTTGATCTCTGCTGGAGTCGCGGTTCAGAAGGTCTGATGGGCATGCTATGAGCATTAGTAGACATCATGGGAGCTTCCTGAACGTCAAAATTGCTTGATTAGGGTGCCTAAAGGGTAAATTCATGCCGACAGATGAAAGACCGGTAGATAATCTTTTTCAGGTGGTTATAAAGGGAACAGCGAAAATGAAGTCCCAATATTTCAGAAAGATTTGAAAACAACCGGTTGATATAGTTTGTTTAGCTAACATTTCGGTGTTGACACAGTGAACAATGATTTAGGTCGGGTAAAAAGCAGTTGCCTAACATGTCCCGCAGTTTGGTGAGGGTAAAACTGCAATTGTCATAACTTAGGTGAGTTGTCTGATTGAGCGCTTATCTAGCGGATACACTGCTGCATAATGGTAGTGTAACTGCGAACTGAATACGAACGACGAGACAAAATGGGGACACATATAGTTATTGTACTCTGTGAGAAAAGTAAGAAGTCAAAACGCGAACACTCACTTCCGCCCCGCAACCTCAAATGTATGTAACATGCTAATCCGGTTGTGAGGGGTACTTAATACATTCCAAAGTTGCACACTTTAGGCAGCGAAATGATGGAGTCAAGGGCAAGATCCAATGGTTTTTGAAAATATCCAAAGTCGGGGAGGAAACAACGAAGTCTGGGTGAGTTCCAGGATTGGCAAACCCAGAGAAAATTAATTCCGCCGGTATTCTAGACAGCTAAACTGTGTACAGAATTTCAGAAGGTTACTTCTGCAATTCGTGTTATGGCTGAGTTTCAGCAAGTGACGGCATAAGTGATTAAAGTCACTCAATATATCAGGTCGCCGCGCAGCCTTAGGTAGCGGCCACTGAAAACTCCCAGTGATTTCAGCCTTTGATGGTAGGACAGATTTTGTAGGCTCTTGACGTCCTTTGTGGCCTTGCATTGGGCTTTCTCTGGCACTTCTAAGTCGCGCTACAACCAAGTTGCCAAGTTTGGATGGCGTATGCAACGTGACGACGCATAAAGGAATTGTGTGGCATAGGGAAGATGGATGGGTCGAATTTTCCGAATGCTGTCCGCAGAAAGCCGACGTGCTATTTGGCTCACTTCGCAGCTACCTCTAACTGCTTTGAACAGTTAAGCTCACTTTGAAGGAGTACACCAAGGTCGCATTCTTGGGAAGTTGTTTGCGATACATGTGAACCAAGCCTATGCATGTACTCATGTCTATGGCGCAATAGAACAGCGTGACATTTTTCCACATTGAACGGTATGGTATTCAAAACTGACCAGGTTGAGATCGTGTTGAGGTCACGCTGGAGCTTTCCGTTGTCATTCGGTTCTTTGATCGTTCGACATAACTTGATGTCATCTGCGAAGAGTAGGAAATCGGAAGTAATTTCCCTCGCCAGATCATTTATGAAAATCAAGAATAGACAGGGACCGAGTACCGAGCCTTCTGATCATGCAGCACGAACTTGGTTGCTCGAGACAGGTTGAAAAGGTAACAAAAGGAGCCATTCAATATGTTGGACTCTTACGGAGGGCTTTCGGAAATTTTGAGTCAGCAGTCTTTTCGCAACCGCTGAACGTCTGCGTAAGGCCTTTCGTCCCTGGTGCAAGTGCGAAGTCGATGCACTTGAAGCTCCACACGTAGAGCGACCAAACTCGTCAGAGGATTGTTTCATCTCTCCTACCAACACAGACTGCAGTCTCTGAGATTGTACAGTGGTGAATATCGACGTCAGCGAGGAGACCTAATCATGGTTTACTTAATACTGACGAACCCAACTCACTCATTTCTCAAACTGTTGCACCTGAGCCAAAATACCAACCTGAGAAGCCATCAGCGCAAACTGGCTACGCACTGCAGTAGGTTGATTGTCGACGCAACATTTTCTCCCTCCGTGTGTCCCGTGCCTGGGATGCCCTCCCGACACGTAATCCTTGCCCCTACATTAGCGCTTTTCAACAAACGTCTTGATGAGACGCTTTCCAACTTGTCTTACTTGAGATAGTCCGTTCCACTTGGAGGAGGAAACAACGCAAACCTTACCATGTGCTTAACGGCCCTCTGCGCAATGTGGCAATGAGGATACATGCAGAAGTGTCCACGTGATTAGCCTGGAAGTAGATAAACTGGATTAACATACTACATCTGTCAAATGAAGAAAGGAACGAGTGAGCGTTGTAGTTTCCTTTTTTATTTCTCACGCACTTACTGCCCTATGAAGGCTCTATACAAATTTGCCATGTACACATCCCGTTCCCACTTCAAACTATCGTTATGCAGTAGTGCGTTTAACTCAGTGGACACTTGAAATAACGATTTATTTTTCGATGCTGGCTTGCCGAACAACCTCCTCGTGGTGCCAGCCGAGTGGTTCGGGATTTCCCGTTCCAGCAAACGGTTCGGGGGCAGTGTTCCATGACTTGGTGGGTTTTCGCCTGGCAAGCCTTCTCCCCATAAAAAGCCACATATTTCCGTTTTCTGATCCTCAGAAATAACTTACTTTGACGATGGGAGGATTTCTGCTTAGACGCGCTCGTTACTGGTGTGGTTAACGTCCTTGTAATAGTGTCCCAGGCGATTACTGGGGGGGCTTTCCGTTAAGAAGGTTCAAGATACCTCCTTAACCATTGCGGATAACATGTTGTAGTGCGTGACCGTATATACTTTATCGTCCTCTTCCTCTGGATATCGCATAATATACATAGTTAAACAATAGAGTCACATGGTCACTACGACCCAGTGGTGTGCTTGTAATTATTCCGTCTAACATGAGTTCTTCGGTGGTGAGCGCAAGATAAAGTATCGATGGCTTGTTAGCTGTTCGAAATCTGGTGGGAGACGTCGCGTGATTGTAAGAGGGTAGCTGGAAATTACCGCTTGTAAGCAGGCTTTGAATTGCATGCTATCGGTCGCGAGTATTTCCAGATCGTGCACATTAAAGTCGCCTGCCATGATAGTGCGACAATGTCTTGCTCAAAGCAACCTGATGAACGTGGTTTATTTTGGAGTCCATTTCACACTTATAGTTTGATGGACGGTAAATCACAGCTAAAAGACACGTGTCTTCGTTCCGCAACCATAGCCGACGCCAAAGTGAAGCCGGAACACGGATCTCTGGGTGGTCAATAACTTCACATCGGAGGTTAGCCAGGTAACACAGAATTACGCCACCACATCCTCCAGCTCTGTCATTCCAAAGCATTGACCTACCAGGTGAATTGACTTCAGAATCGGCTATGCCAAGGCTTAACCAGGTCTCCGCTATCATAATGAGATCTTGCGGTTATGACGTCTGGCTTTCTCTAACTTCGGCCAACTTACTAAGGTGACCTTGGGCGTTAGCATACAAACATGATAGTGTTTTGATGTTAGAAGTGTGTAGGTGGACAAAAACTCGTGTTTAGTTTTCAGCCGACCATTCGTCGATCGGCCGCTAATCGTTTTTTGCCTGAGTTTTTGGTTCTTAAATTTCAGTCAGACTGCATGGTAGCATGGAGCATCCCAGATCGAGATGTTCTCTTGGGTGTCTATCTATCCAACAGACTCCGACTTCCGGCCAATTCTTATTTTACACGAACTTTTAATCATTAACATTGGCCGATTTGTCTTAAGAACATCCGTTTACCCGTCATTTGCGATTTTGTGGACATACCTTTCTCAGTTTTCTGGGGAAAAGCTTAATAGGGCTTAAAGCCGAAACAGCTTTCTATTATGTGCCATTTAATTGCTGACTGTTTGTTCAGTATTATCTCTTGTTTTAAGCTTCCTTACAACCGGCGCGTCACTTGACCGCCATATACGTTACCGCTTTAAAGTTTTGCTGTTGTCTCGTTTCCTCCTTCCGGTACTTTTTGCAGTCCATCCAATACAGTCCGCTGTGTGCTACGCTAATGTTTTTCTGATATCCGCGCTGAATTTTTGTGCACCGTTTCGCACTAGTATTTACCTGTCTTGTGTAATATATTCCTGATGGCAGGTTCGAGACACGGACGAGAAGTCCCGGCTACAAACGAACGACACGTGAGAATCAGCGACCGAGTAACTAACACAGTAGCTCGTACGAAACGGCAATCATGCAAAAACGACGACGCTTTAATGAGTCGAAACCCAAGAACGAGCAAGCTGGACCGAGACAGATGTATTCGACAGCGCGGCATGCGAACAGCGTGGTACACCGCAAGCAAGTATATAAACAACGAGTTTACAAGAAACAGGTACTGGGGCTTGGCTTTTGATTCCCTTCATTCATTGTGCATTCGGTCCGCCAAGCCCTGTAAAATAAGCAAAGGAGACATTAGTCATGGCGGTCAATTTAAACAATACATTGCGGTTTCAACTGTACTACATTATCTCCCCCTTCTATGTGAGGCCCTGTCCCCAGTGCCAGCGCGTCTGGAACCACAGCGAGCCCCCCTTCAGCTGGCACTTCTACAGTGTGTTCGACTATCGGGAGACAACCGGGTGGCACAATTCTATCTACAGGCGTAGAACTTGAAGACGGTGTCATCGGTTTCAGTTGGTTGTAATGAACGGTCAGTACGTCGGCGCTTGGATCCGTAACGTTTCGAAGCACATACACAGTAGGCGAGCGTACGAACACAATCTCATATGGCCCCTGCCATTCCCGATGGAATTTTCCTGGTGCGCCGGCTGGAGGTCTTGGTCGGTGTAGCCATACACGATCACCTTTTCGGTATTCAGGGCCTCGACTTTGGCGATCGTAATACTCCTTCTGGCTGTGTTGCGCTCTGTTCATATGCTCCTGCACGCTTTGAAAGGCTACGCGGACTCTCTCACGGGTTATGCGGACGTATTCCGACAAAGAGTAAGCTTCAACCGGACAGACAGGTGATAGTAATTCCAGAGGTAAGCGAATCTCACGGCTGAGAGTAAGGTAAGCTGGAGAATAGCCGGTTGTAGAGTGCACCGAGGCCCGATAGGCCAGCATACATTGTGGTAATGCTTCGTCCCACTGATTAGACTGATGGCGCTCGACGAAGCTCTGTAGAATAGCCTTGATAGTCCTGTTGGTCCGCTCAACGAGCCCATTTCCTTGTGGATGATACGGTGTAGTTCGTGTCTTTTTAATGGCTAGCAAGCGGCACATTTCTTGCATTAGATGACTCTCAAAAGCCGCGCCCTGATCGGAGTGCAAGGATATGGGTGCGCCGTAACGAGCCACCCACTCGTTGACGATGGTGGAAGCGACAGTGGATGCATTTTGGCATCTGATAGGTATTGCCTCGCACCACTTCGTGAAGTAGTCTATCATAACTAGTATGAAGCAGTTCCCGCTCTTTGTTATCGGCAGAGGACCAATGATGTCTACTCCAATTCGTTGCCCTGGTGCGGAAGTAAGTATTGGTTCCAAAGGAGCACGAGGGACCGGTACCATTGGTTTCAAAGTAGCACAGAGCTCACATGACGCACAGAATTGAACGACATCGGCGTGGATGCCCGGCCACCAATACCGTTGTCGAACTGCAGCCTCCGTTTTCAACTGACCGGAATGGCCCAATTGTTGATGAACTTTTTGTAGTATTCCAAGAGATCGGGTCATCGGAGTAATCAGTTTCGGACCGGATTTATCAACGCGATACAGAACACCGTCGATGATTCTCAAGTCCTTCCAGTGCCCGAGTAGGGAGCGCTCTTCTGTGGTACGTTCACGAAGTTCAGTTCCAGTGGGTTTCGAGGAGCCATTCAGCTGTCGGTTGTAGGTGTTAGCTATATACGGGTCACATGCTTGCTCTTCGGCCCACGCAATATCAGTCTCTGGGGTTACGAAAGCCGAATTTACCTGTTCGGATCTCACTAACCTTGACAGCGCGTCTGCATTAGAGTGTCGTGTCCCTGGACGATATTCGCAGGTAAAATCGTATTCTTGAAGCTGTTCCTGCCATCTTGCTATCTGACCCTCCGGCTCACGGAAGTTTTTTAACCACTGAAGTGACTGGTGATCAGTGCGAACCTGAAATGACTTTCCAAGTAGGTACGGCCTGAAATGCCGCAAAAAGCTAACCAGCGCCAGTAGTTCCCGTCGAGTGGTGCTGTACTTTCTCTCACGTTTATCTAAGCGGCGACTAGCGTAGGAGATCACAACTTCGCCTGCCGGTGTTCTCTGGGATAAAACTGCGCCGATCGCTTCATCGCTCGCATCTGTATCCAACACAAAAGCTCCCGACTCTGGTGAGGTGTCAGGGAGAGCCAAGATTGGGGGTGTCGTAAGATGAACTTTCAACTCCGCAAAAGCATTCTGACATTCGTTAGTCCAGCAGAATTTTCGTCCCTTCTCCGTTAAACGATGTAAGGGGGCTGAGATGGCCGCAAAATTAAAAATAAACCGCCGATAGTACGAAGCCAATCCTAAGAAACTTCGGAGTTCTGCTGTCGTTTTGGGTTGTGGCCAGGAAGTAATTTTTTCACATTTGGCGGGGTCGGTCCTCACACCTTCATGGGAGATAATGTGTCCTAAGTACTTAACTTCACGCAGGAGAAAATGACATTTTGGACCACGTAGTTTCAAGCCCGCCAGACTCAGCCGATCCAGTACGAGGCGCAGCCGCCGATTATGCTCCTCAATCGATCGCCCATAAACGATTATGTCGTCCAAATAAATTAAACAGCTACCTGGTGTTAGGCCCTCCAGGGCTTTCTGCATTAGTCTCTGAAACGTAGCCGGAGCATTAACCAGACCAAAAGGCATAGTTTCGAATTCATATAGACCGTTGGGAACAGTGAACGCCGTTTTCTCACGATCCTTGGGTCTTACTTCTACTTGCCAGTAACCACATGCAAGATCCAACGTAGAGAACCAGCATGAACCATGGAGTGCATCGAAGGTGGCATCGATACGGGGCAGTGGAAATGAGTCTTTACGTGTTACCTCGTTAAGCTTTCGATAATCAACACAAAGCCGTAAGGTCCCGTCTTGCTTCTTCACTAAAACGATTGGCGACGCCCACGGTGACGATGAAGGTTTAATGATACGTTTGTCCAGCATCTCTTTGATCATTGACCCTAACTGCGGTTCGTAATGAACCGGCAACCTGCGCGCATGTTGACGAATAGGTCGATGGGACATGGTGTCAATCTCATGTTCAACTAGGTTCGTACGGCCAGGAGAATCAGCTGTCGAAAACACCTCTTCAAACTCTCGTAGCACTGAGATTAACTGGTCAGTGTTGTCTGTGGTAACGTTAGTGCGTCCAATAATTGGCTCAATGACCTCCTTTTGGAAATGCGATGTTGCTGAACAAGTGGCTGCAGTAGTGAAGGCTCCTCGACCGTCCTGGTGATGATCAATGACGGTTGGCGTAGGAGTCAGCAATACGGTCCCGCATTTAAGTGCTACTGTACAACCATGTCGGGTGAGGAAATCCATTCCCAAAATAGCGTCCCAGGTCAAATTTCGACAAGCTATAAAGTTATGAGTGGCTACTACCCCATCAAGTTTGACGCGTGCTTGCAGTGTAAACTCTGTTCGCAACTCTACCCCATTAGCGGTGATAACACGAGGCTGCTGGCTGGTAACCGTGCACACGTTCCTAAGGCTGTGGGCGATATCAAGGCGAAGTAAAGAACACGAAGCACCAGTATCAATCAAAAAATGCACGCTAATATCATCTAAACACCCTGGTATCGTCAAAGGTTTAGAGTGTAGATTGCTAGTGAAAGTTGATGCCAAAAACTGACAATTGTGCAAAGTTGACCTACCTCGTGGTTTTCGAAAAACAATAGGTGGGTTGTGTCCACAGCGCTGGGCCCGTCTGCCGAACCGCTGACAGTATACGCAGTTCTCCACGGGGGATTTTCGTGCTGGGGAATGGTGCATGTGATCAGCTGCGAAAACGTCGGTCGATGGGCGTAAAGTTGAACAACTATCATGACCAAGATGGGTTCGGTCGACTTTGACTTGCTCCAAAAATTCCCGATTCCTGGCCTTTTCCAGCACCTCCTCCAGCGAACGAGGAAGTTTCAATGTATATTTGTCACGGAGGTACTGGTCGCGTAGGCCCATCGCAAATCTCTCACATATCCACTTTTCCAGATCCGCGTATTGAAGATCTGGAAACCCTTTGTGAGCCAAAATTCGGAGGGCTGCGAGGAAGGCATCTGCGTTCTCTGAGGGTAGCTGACGCCGAGCAAAGAATGTGTCACGGTAGAACGCAACGGGGTGGCATTTGAAAAACAAGCTTCGGAGAGTGGCCCAGATCTTCTCCATCTGAGATTTAGTTGGTCGCCTCATCGTCAAGAAAGACTGCAATGCTTCTTCGCTTAAAAAAGCGAGGATGATCGAGCCGAGTGACCGTTCTGGCGCTGAAGCGATGTACCCATTGACTTGAAAGTACCAGCATTCAAAGTCATCACGCGGGCTGATAACCCGCGGTTGGCGACTGAGGGATTGATTCTGCGCACTCGTCTCTCGGACCTTACACTCAATCGTCGGTGGGCTGAAATCACTTTTGCTCATCCTTGAAGTACTGCCCGCGACGCCAATTTGTAATATATTCCGGATGGCAGGTTCGAGACACGGACGAGAAGTCCCGGCTACAAACGAACGACACGTGAGAATCAGCGACCGATTAACTAACACAGTAGCTAGTACGAAACGGCAATCATGCAAAACGACGAGGCTTTAATGAGTCGAACACAAGAACGTGCAAGCTCGACCGAAACAGATGTATTCAACAGCGCGGCATGCGAAGAGCTTGGTACACGGCAAGCAAGTATATAAACAACGAGTTTACAAGGAACAGGTAATGAGGCTTGGCTTTTGAATCCCTTCATTCATTGTGCATTCGGTCCGCCAAGCCCTGTAAAACAAGCAAAGGAGACATTAGTAATGGCGGTCAATTTAAACAATACATTTCGGTTTCAACTACTTATTTATTAATTTATTTATTTATTTATTTATAACGCTCTGTGACGCTTACCTCGTGAGCCCTACTGGTAGTGATTTTTAAAATTCTATTCCCACTTCAAGCTTAACTTGTCTATTTCTACCGACTCTCTGTTAGCCTTCCGGCAATACTAATATTGCTTTCTCTCTATGCGCCGACATTCTGGGCTCGTCTCAATGGTCTCCTTTCTGACTGCTGGGGCCTTACCGATGAACGATTGACAGGTCCCATGGTCTGTTCACAAATATCAGGACCATTGTAGGCTTTTCCATTTCTCCCCAATAGGTGCTTTTCCTTCCAGACCTCATTCTTTCCTTTTCGCGACCACATGTTTACATATTTTTTCAAATGGACGGAGAACTTTTCGTGCTTAGCTCTAATCTATCCTCGTCTGACCAATCTCCTTCTTTTAGATTGCTGCCAGACGTACTAGACGTAAAAGTTATAGGATTTGTAGTCCCAACACTCTGCCCCTATCCTATGTGCTTTGCACGCCATACTGTCTAACTATTCTGACGCAACGCTATGCCACACTTACCTCAAGTACATCACTAGGCGTTATTCATCCTTCATTTTGTTAACAAGCATGAATCATCACCTGAGGAAAGTTGTCGGGTTTTCCACTTTTCCATAGAAACTGTTTTACCGACCCTCTCTTTCCTTCCTTTGCTTTCTGTTGCATTCCTTCTTCATTCAACGCTAACTTACATGCGTCAGACCTGCCTGACTTCTTACATTCCTACCAATTTAAGACTGAGGCAACGCGTCCCTGTCGCTCCTTCTGAGTGATATTTATTCCATAATCTGCGAACCTTGTCCTCCTCTCTCTGGTTATTACTGATTGAGCATATGCGCAGTAGGACCCCTCACACGCTGTTTTTTTCATCTTCGTTCCTATTTTGGAACAATATTTCATTCTCTGCCATCCGTGTTCTGCTTGCTTCCCGTCGTATTTCGCCACTTATTATACACATGTATATGCGACAGTTAAATAACACTTACATGTATAGGAGTGCAATAGTTAGTCATTGCTGCAATTGATCGATCACTTTTCAGATGCATTCCTTTTGTCCGTCTGTGTGCCGGCCACTGTGCGTTGCCTTTCTTTTCCCGAGACTGTCACAGATATGGTGACATGCACCCAAGGAATTGGCCATTGTTGCGACAACTACCTCCTTATCTGGACATGTGTTGAAGATTATCAACCGTTTTTACAACTTACTATCTAGACAAATTATTCGTTATCCTGCACGAATACGGTTTTTCCAAGACTTAAACTACTAGACCCAGTTTATCTAAAACAATCTCTTCCACGTACCTCTTGCCTGGAGCACTCCTTTTGATTTAAGAATGCACATTCTCCTGCCGAAACAAAGCCAGAACAGTTGGTCATCCTGAGCTATTCAATTCGCTTTGTTGACTCAATTGACCTTGGTTTCCTATACCTCTAATCGATTTTACTACAGACCCCGATGATCTGCGCTCCTCTTTCGGAACCATATCAACAACAATTTCACATATTCCAATTTGTATTCCTCGGAGACTTCACGCGGTCCTGCAGCTGATCAACACTCCATATTCAAAAAGTATATTTAGTACTTTATCTACTGATCGGGCACAGCCCTTCGTTCAGAACAGAACGGGAGTCAGGAACGCAATAAGCACTCCCCTAACGCACCAGCCAACAGAAAAGTGGGACGCAACTTGACTGCGAATAACCGAGCAAACAAACGTTCAACAAGAAACATAGGCAGTTACAACCTGTCATTCAATGGAGTGGTGGTCGTGTTTCAGGACGTGGTGGGTTTTCGCCTGGAGTGCGTTCGCTTTATAAAAAGACACAAGTGCCCGTTTAACCACACTGCAAAGTGGCGAAGGTGACTCGCCACCGAATAAATTCACAGGCCATTACTTTACACTGGCAAATCAACTAGCGTTACCATACTAGATAGGTTCGTTGCACTGGAACTTCTACAGCTGCAAAGCGTGTTGTCTCTTCTTACTACGAGTTTACGCATATAATGCTCTCTCTTTACTTTCGACGATACCGCTGCTGACCTTTGCGTTACTTATGCACGAAGTCACTATATTGTCATATCCCTCTCGAGCGTGCGCTTCAATTATCTTCCAATGGATCAATCAGGATTCTTATTCCATCCTTGGCCGAGTTATGGCTGCAATATATGACAGGCCGATTATGTCCTAAAAACCGGTCCCGATCTCACGACAGCCGAATAATGGTTTCGCATTTCCACCATTATACAGTTGCTAGCAAGGACAAATAAACACATTTCTACTGCACCTGTTATAGTTGCCATAAAATCGCTGTACAGTTGCGCATAGTTGCTTACGCCTCCATGGGCGTGCCTCGCATAGTCAAGAATACAATTGTTATTTAATTTTATTTTAGTTATTTTAAAATGCAGCAGTGCTGTTATTGGTGAGTAATTGTGACATTGCTTTCGACATTTTCGATCCCGGCAGGGTAGTCAATTGGTAGCATGCACAGTTGCAAAAGTCCAAAAAGAAACAAGTATTCCTACCAAGCAACACATAGCTATTGTAAACGTAACTAGAAATCTACTGTAAACGGAAGTTAAGATGAACATTCTTCTTTATGCCATTGCTACTCTTTGCTAAAAGTAAACGCGCGTGGCTTTGAAAGACCAGCGGAAAAGCTGTTATGACAACTGTATAACTTTAGTTTACGTGCTACCGTTTAGGCCGTTGTCTACGCATCCTAGCGGAGGATCGTCAATACCAAAGCTCTGGAGTTTAAAGAGCAGAATGTCATGGTCTAACCGGTCGAATGCCTCCAAGGACTTGAGCGAAGCTGCATATACTCCTAGGTCAGAGTCTGCTGTCCCAGTTCAGCTGGGTGTTTTATATGTATATTGGTAGTGCAACATCGCTTGCGTCGGAAGAACTAATGTCGCGATGTGGCCTAGTTGAATACTTCTAAGCCGGTCGTTAGTGCATCAGCAATAATAGTTTTCATGAACTTTGAAAGAACTGGAAGTAAGAGTATGGGACGATAGTTGACTGGATTGGAACGACTACCTCCCTCATGAATCCGAGTATTTATCCCACGCTTCCACTTGTCAGCCACGTAGTTTTCGTTAAACCAGTTTTGAAAGAACCGAGCCAAAGCTAAACAAACCTCTCCTACCGCCACTAGCGTTTCCGTGTGTATTTTATCAACTCCAGGAGAGCTGTAGTCGCGTTTACTCAACAACTTCTGAAATGAATAATAAGTGATGGGATTTAGGGGTAAAACAACCATTGCGATAGTGTTCTGTGGCCGTAAATGGCACTAAACTATTGCAGCATAACGTAAGCGCAAGGTATTCGCTGCCTACTTCGGTCTTTATGTGGGTCCGTTCGTCATTCAAAGAGGATGGTTTTCGCGCTTTACTTTACATAAACCGTAGGCGTGTTGGTACTGATGCTTGTGGTTTCAGAGCATACGTACTACCAACTTCTGCCGGTACGCCATTCTGCCTTGGCAAACAGGCTGAGTACAGTGGTTACATTGAGTCGCATAGACGATCCAGTCCTGGGTGTGCGGAGAGAGGTTGTGGATATGCCAAGCTGAGTTATGCACTGACACACACTTTCGAGTCTTGCTTTGCAGTAACGAGATCCAGTTTCCCAGACGGATGGTGCTAGTCGCTGGTGCTTTGCCAACCAGATATTTAGGATTACCGACGATATGTTTGCTTGAGCTAGCTGTTGCCTTGCCTGCCGTGATGGTCTAGTTGGTTGTCTTACCTAAAGAGGCATGCGCATAGTAGTACATGCGCGTAGGATCAATAATTGAGCCTGAATAATACAGTACCTTTAGTATATACTGTAGTGATATTGTAAGTATATATGTAAGTGGTTGAGTGAGTAATAATTTTGTGTGAGTATTTTAAACCTACGCTAAAGTTGTGGTTGTGTTCTGTGAATTCGACAACCTAGGAAGGAAGCAAATACCATCGTTGATGTAGCCGACGTTTTTGAATAAGGTAAAATTCCCCGGAAAGGCGGAAGGCAGGGACTTTATTAAGTGGTGATTCCCATCCGCTCCGTCACAGAGTTTTTGCACATAAAAGTGTAGCTTTTTATATGGGGAAATCGTGCTGGGCTACTACTACTTGCATTACTGACGGCCAAACATTTTCTCGGAACCGGATGGGAGTGCTGATTTAGCCCTAAAGCAGGTACTTAGTGAGAAGCTCTTGCAGATTGGCCTTAAACTGTTCGTTGAGAGCTGCTTGTGATTCAACAGCGTGGATGTTAAAATGGCCGCTATTTAGAATATGACTTTAAGTTGGG